CGTTGCTAACCATGTTCCCCATCCAAGTTGTTGTCGATTTACACAATGTTTTTATCATACTGTGTCCTTCATTTATTACTTTTCCATTGCAGTGAACAATGGCACAGAATCGACGAAGTTCTATGGGGCCCTTTCCAGTTCCTAGACCGACAAACCCTGGAGACGGGAATCTCGTTGATTTGGGTAGAAAGCAAGTGGATCCTAATGCGAAGACTCGTCATGTACGTTGGAGTGACGAAATGGATGGTTTACTGATCACTTCACTTGTTGAACAAGTGTTGGCTGGGCACAAACGAACTGACAATGGCTTCACTGCATTTCAAGTGTCTAAGACAATGGAAAGGGTTTCCAATGGATGCGGGGTTACTGTCTCGAATAAGAATGTGAGGGCAAGGTTGAAGACTCTTAAGAAGGAGCACACTGAAGTGCGATAGTTGCTGAATATGAGCGGCTTCGGGTTAGACCCAGAAACAGGACGCATTGTGGCAGATCAAGTTGCGTGGGATGAATTTATTAAGGTACGGTGTTTGAAAAATGTATCAATATGCACTTTGTATGGTTTAAAGGGCTGTAGAAAATTATATGGTTTGAAGGGCTATAGAAAATTACCTGTGGCCTGCTCTTGCCAAAATTAAAAAGTCTGTTATTCATAGCATTAATGATTCGTTAATATAATGGCATTTTTTTCGTTGGAGTCCTCTATTCTAAGTTTGATTTGAAGTGGGGGGAATACAAAGTTTACCACCAAATGCTCTGTTCATTGTCCTAAATATGTTAAGACTTTACCCCGTTACTATTCGGTGTTTATTTGATTTTGGATGGAGTTCTTTGATACGGTAATTTGGAAAAAAAGTCTTCTGGTTCAATTGATCTGCTCAAAACATTACAGTCCAAGTTCTTGCGGGGATTTTTACAGCTCAAATTTTGCATTTAAATAATGCTACTTTGAGGGGGATGTGCATATTTTTGCCATGGCTTATTGTGTTGGTACTTGTTTTCCCATGGTTGGCTAAGCATCATGTGTATCTCCAAACTGCACACTGTTATTAAGGTACCTTTTTTTACTTGGTTTTTACTAGTTGTTGAGCCCCCGTTTGGCACCCATTTTTTTCTCATTCTCATTCTCATTTTTTTTCTCTTTCTTCATTTCAACCACACATTCTATCAATAAAATAATATTACACATAAACCAAAAAATTCTACTTACTTTATTTGGGATATAGTTTTCTAAATTGGCTTGTATTGTTTTTTGTTTTTTTGACTTTTTTTCATAATTTTTTTTTTTTTTTTTCACTTTGACGTTTGGAGTTTGAACTTATAAAAAATAGTTTATTTTCGTGGTTATTAACCGAACCGACTTATGTGGTTATGGTTCGATTATGGAATGTCCAAAAATTTGATGGTGCGGTTATGGTTTTGACCCGACCGACCCCGATCACATGCGTTGCCATTCCTACTTTTGAGTTGTCATTTTTTTAAAGGTGTTCTATTTCTATAAGTTCCTCTTTACTGGTGACTGTTATTGGGCTGGACCAATCTCTCCATGTTGACAAGGCCCATTAACCCAATATTTTGGTTTTCATTCACATCACGATTTAAACACACTAGGGTTAGGGTTTCTCCATTGAGAGAGAGAGAGTGAAAGAGATCGAGCGGCGAAAATGGTGAAGTTCCTGAAGCCAAACAAGGCGGTGGTGATCCTACAGGGCCGTTACGCCGGGCGAAAGGCCGTGATTATGCGTAACTTCGACGATGGCACGCGCGACCGTCCCTACGGACACTGCCTGGTGGCAGGATTGGCCAAGTACCCGCGCAAGGTGATCCGAAAGGACTCCGCGAAGAAGCAGGCCAAGAAGTCTCGAGTGAAGTGCTTCATCAAGCTGGTGAATTACAATCACATTATGCCCACTCGTTACACCCTAGACGTGGACCTCAAGGATTTGGTGACCATCGATAGCCTCCAGTCCAGGGATAAGAAGATCACGGCTGCCAAAGAGACCAAGGCTCGATTCGAGGAACGGTTCAAGACTGGAAAAAATCGGTGGTTCTTCACCAAGCTGAGGTTTTGAGGCTGGTGTTTTGGTAATTTTTGAGCTGATTTTGGTTCTTAAAGAAGAGGGATTCTGCTTTTGTATTAGATGATTCAACAGTCTTATCTGAACTCGTCTTTTTGCTTAATATTAGTTGTTTCAATTTAAAATGAAATATTGATATGCGATCCTTAATCATATGTGAATTTTTGGCTTGATTTTATTGATGTCTCTAATCTTTTTGTTTCGCATTGTGCGATTATTATTTGCGGGAAATGGGTTTTTGGCTCCATTTTCATTTCTGGAGATTAGGGTTCTGTTTTTGCCCCATTTATATGAATTTGCATAGTAATTTGCAAATTTCTGAAGATATTTATGAAGTATTATAGTAGTTATTTCTGTCAATACAGTCTTTTTATGCTATGCTTAAATTGTCAGGTTCTGCATTTTAATTGCCTCTGAATTTTATCTCAGATTCTGGCTTCTGAGCTGTTTATTTCTTCTGTCCATACTCAAAAGAAGATATAGAAGATCCTATCTGTATTACTGCATCGATGCCAATGTTTAGAACGGGTGCCAGCCTAATAAAACCATTAACCACCTTATAAAAACTACAATAAAACAGTATAACTGAATTGAAAGTTGAACCTGCAATGAAACATAAAATAGATCAATGGACTCCCAGGCATCTTTTTCTTGGATTGAAACCCGAAGCGATAAGAACAAATACCTTACCCCCCAAGCCCCCGTTCTATGTACCGGCCCCCTCGAATCAAAGAAGGAACCGAGAGAGACTTGGGGATTGCTTCTGCCCTGACTGTGCTTACCATCCAACTACCATCAATCTCAGATTCTCCTATTATTGTATCCCAGCACCAACTGCTTCAGCCAAATACTTCGCCTGCAATTTTCCATGTTCACAATCTTCATAATCCAAATTTCAGGAAGAAGAATCTGAGAGTGTACTAGTAATTAAGCGTGACTTTCAATTTTAGGGCCTATTTGGTATGCACAGTCAGAGCTATATAGTTAGTATTGTGTAGTGTTCAGACAATAAGAAAAAAGAAAAGGTAATCTTGTGGATTTGTACTAATACTGCATATCGAACTCAATACAAAAGCCATGAAATGAATCTGATAATTGCATCATCAGAAATTTTTTATCTTTGCAACTTCTAATTTGACAATCTGTGGCTAGTTTTGCATAGAAATTTGTGACTAAGCTGAATAGTAATTATAGCATTAATGGCAGAGGGATTGTAGCATTAATTTGATTTTTTGTATGTGAGGTGTTTATTCACTGTGATCACATAAATGGCAGACTGTGGCAAAAACTCTTTTTCAGTTTGGATAATGAAAATGTACGCTACTTCCAGCTTTTGAAGAGGTATTTTACAATTATCATGTGGCTGAATCATTCATGTCTACTTTGCAGGGAAAGCCAGAATTCGGAAAGTGCAGGACCAAACTTTGTCCAAGATATGATGAGATGGAGACAATATTTGGGAACGATGCAGCCACAGGAGATCGCGCAGTGTCTGGTTTCGACGATTTCTCCCAATGAATGGTATGTAATACATGTTAAAGCTTCGATTCTTGTCTTTTTTTTTTCCTAACGCATTTGTTATCTCTTTTGCGTAGCACTGATGAAAGTGTGAATGAGATGGATATGGAAAATGTTGACATGGATCATAGCCCAATTAATGTTCGTAAGCGTACAGCCGAAGAGGGAACGCACAAAGCCAAGCGTCGACGTAAACAAGCGGTGGATGAGACTACCATCGCCCTAATGAGAATTGCCGAGTCATCTACAAAAATTGCTCAAGCTATGAAAATGCAAGTTACGATAGATACACAGAATCATGTGAACTGGCAATTGATTGTAGAGAAACTGGAGGCATTGAACCTAGACATGATTGATGTAATGGTAGTCATGAAAGCCTTTCAGTCTGACGATGGTTTGGCTAAGGTATTTATGAATCTGACGAATGAGAAATACATGCGTACTTTGGTTTTTGAAAAGCTTGGTCGTGATCCACCTCCACTACCGTAGATTGCACGTGTTATAGTGTGTGTATAAAGTATGTATTTGTAAAACTTAATCCACGTATGTGGTCTTTTGTAATTTCTGTAACGCGCACGCGTAGAAACTAGGGTGCAATGTTTTGTACATGGTGAATGGATAGTTTTTGGTAGTCTCCCAGGAGTTGGATGTATGTTTTGAAAAATGGTTCTTGTTGATGGATTTTGTAGCCCAGATGATTTATATGTAATGGGAATATGTCTTGCAACCTTGGAATGCCTACTCCCCCATGGGTATTACTTTGGGAAAAAATGTGGGTTGTCGTTTGATTTATAATCTACATGAACGTTCGGTGAAACATTATTTTTCTTATCTGAAGAAAACCCACTATTGAAAAAAAATGCACCTCCACCTTTGATGCTAATCTGAAGAATTTTCATCGGGTTTTAAACCATTTTTAGCATTATCTTTTGGCCATGGTTTGTTGGATATTATAAATGGCTATAAAACACCAATTGTTGGGAAAAAAAAATTTCATAATTTTCCATGGAAAAAAAGCCTATCAAACAGTTACAGATGGAAAATATCATTATTTTTCATGGAAAATTCAGCCGATCAAACACAAAAAGCTGGAAAATGTCAACATTTTTTAGGTGGAAAATTATACCAATCAAACGCAACTAATTGACAATTCCCGGGAAAAAAATTTCTAGGCAAATATTTTCCCTAGAATTCATTTTCTTTCCACCCATTTTCCACCATTGCAATCAAACGCACTCTAAAAAAATAGCCCCTCAATGTCTGAATTTGATTTATAAGTTCAAAAGATTATAAGAATACATGTGAAACACAGCAAGTACACCGGAACGAAGCAACAAAGAACATCAAAGTCTCAATTTTTGAAATTCCAACATCAAATTAAAGAAAAAAAATCCCTTTCTACCAACTTCAAAGATCAATCACACGGGATAACTTTTGAATGCGGTTCAACAAGAAATCGCCTTGCTTGATCGTTGCTTGGTAAAGGGCATTCTTTGCATCAGGGCGATTAGTTTCCAATACACCTGCAACTTTATCTATCTTGCAGTGTAACTTCCCCGCTGCAATGAAACGAGACAGCTCCCTGTATATGAAGGAAATGATCAATTACACACGTCTTGGCAAAGCATAACTTTTTACTACCTGCTCATTATTCACACGTTCTATAGGACCACAACTTTATAAGCACTTAAAACCTTTATAGAACATACTCCTAATCTAATATTCATCAAGAGAATCAGAATAAAATGAAACAACTTACAAATCGATGAAATCTACTGTCACCCCAAATGCTTTAGCCATAGCCTCAATTGTAACACTCTTGTAGGCTTCCAAGAACTGGGAATAAACAACAGTTCTGACCTCCCTCATGTAATATCGGAAGTGGGGATGCAAATAGCGGTCCAACTTGATGTGCTCCGTCAAGCCAGCTAAAAGTCAAATAGAAACTCGATTGAAGCAAATTATATACCAGTAAATTGTTAAAACAGGTTCAATATGAGCATCTTTATTTATTTATTTTTAGTTAAGAATGAAAATAATGTCAAACCATGTGGTGCAAATAGCAGCACAAGGATCCATGTACCAGTTTCTTTTTCAGATTTCTGTTTCGCCAGCATGTCTACAGAATGTGGAAATGACGCTCCAACTTATCTGAGTTATCTTATGGGTGAAATTTTCTTCTTATTGAACTAAATTACTTGTGTTCTTTCTTTTTGTCTGATGGTCAAGCAATAACAATTCCCCAAGATTTGGTTTAGTAGTAAAAGATACTTACCAAAAGCTGAAAAAAATGATTTATACTGGCATTCATACAGAGAGTTCATAAACTCCGATAAATATGGGATTTTGCCAATGACAGTCAGGATCTCAGGAGCATCCACAACCTGCCACATATTACAACCACCGTAAGTAAGAAATGCCGCTTGTTTAAGCACAAAAACTCACATAATCACATTGAAATGCTGTTTGTTTAAGTGCATAATAACTTAATTCCAGGGAAACCATTTTGGTAAACATTTAAAGAAAATATGGATACCTTTTGTTTCAGGGAAACTCTATCCAAGGATATAATGCTCGTAAGGACCGTGTAAAATATGAAGGTGTCATAGGGAAATATCTCGTAAGTCGTGAAAGTAGAGATAGAATCAAGGAAAAGATTGGCTGCTTTCTTGAAGTTACGGGTGGACATGCAATATAGTCCTTCATACACCTTCAAACGGTTCTTCCTCTCCCAGTCACCTCCCTCTTCAAACAAGCTGTCTTGCCAATAGTCAAAATCAGAGGCCAAAATAAAATGAAATGAGGAAATTTTTTGTCTACGATGACCATCTACGTTGATCCTTACTTCTTTGCTTTATCAATGCTTTTAGAGATGAGATTGAAGTCCATGTGGAAGAAACCAATCTGTAATGTGTAGAAAACCAAGTCCATCTTTTGTCCAACGGCAACAGTCTTACTTTCTGTTAACTTGAGTTGTTCCAGTGCCTTTTCCTGAATTTTACAAGGGTGAACGAATTATATCAAAGAAACATAAGTAAAACGACAAAGTACATTTCTCTACCTTGTCACCAATTCTAATGAAAAATAAGGATTTCGCCAAGTGAGCTTCCCGAACTTCACTTTCACCCAAGTTTTCTTCTGCATCGGCAATCCTATACAAATTAAGCCAAAGAGACATAATTATGAAGGACATGATGACAAAAGGATTGCCCTAAAAGAACTACAAAGTAGTATCTGTGGTAACTGATGAGAATGAAATACAAACTAATCAAAGAAATGACAATAACACAACAAAAAAACCTAACAGACATCTGACTTGGATGGCTCCATGACAAATTATAGAAACCAGTGAGGGTCTATAATTAGAATTTGGTTGTACAACCAGCAGGAAAATAAGAGAAGGATATATTTTAAAGCAATTAAAAAGTGCACGAGTGCATCATTGGTCTCCAGTACAATATCAAATGTAACAAATCACAATCCAAATAGTATGCCTCAAATCATTAACCAAAAATACCAATTTTAAATCGCAAAAGCAAATCTGACAATCCATATGTTCAAGAGTAAATTTAGTTAGCATTATAATACTACTAGTGATAGCTCCATGCAATTCCACAATCATGGAATGCCATACTTGAGCCTGTGCCAAAAAATTAAATAGAGGCCTCACAGTTATAGGCCCCATTTCTCTTCAGCTTATTTAAGAAACACAAGGCGTTTTAGAACTCATTGAACATAACAGTGACAACCATGGCACAAAAAAGGCAAAATGGGCCCG